GTCCCCGAAGAGATATCCAGGTTTGGTTATGGGCTTACGGCTTGGGCTTTCAAGTCGAGCGTCCGAAACCAACGTCCTGAGAGTGTCATGAGAAGCTTGGGTGATCAGTTCCACGCGACTCTTCTCCCTCAGCCGGAAAACCGGGAGTTCTAAACGCGAGCTGAAAGTTATGTTCATGTCTGCACCACCTTCATGTCCAAAGTGGTGGCGAAAAAAAAGAGGCTCGCTGGTATGGCGCACTACAAAAAGAAGAAAAGAGTTAGACAACTCAAAATCAAAGTTCAGACGCGAAGGTCGAACCCCGCGTCAAACAAGTTCAGACGCGAAGGTCGAACCCCGCGTCAAACAAGCCCAGACGCGAAGGTCGAACCCCGCGTCAAACAAGCCCAGACGCGAAGGTCGAACCCCGCGTCAGACAATCTCAGACGCGAAGGTCGAGCCTCGCGTCAGAAAGTTCAGACGCGTGAGTCGACCCTCGCGTCAAAAATCTGAGACGCGGAGGTTAAACCCCTCGTCAAGAAGATTAAACGACAGGGTCCAGCCCCGCGTTATTGGAACGAGTTTCCTCGTTAATTTCAAGATCAGAACTTGCCGGAGCAAGTTTAATGACCACGAAGGTCGTACTCACCACCGATCAAAGGAAGCTGGGGCGTCACATTCGCCTGAGCAGCGGCGCCGCTGGCCGGCGCTGATGATGCAGATCCCCGAGCCGCAGCGGCATCGGACTTGGGAGCGACGGGCTTCTTGGGTGCCATAAGATCTCGTCGGAGGAGATGAACAGCGTTTCGCCGGAGATGAGAACGAAATTTTTTTTCGTTAAATTTTCAAGAAGAGTCGAATGACTCTTGATTTGACCCCTAGCAGTCTATTTATAGACAGCTATGAGCTGTCAAATCCTAACGGACGGGATTCGAGGCCATCAGCCCGCCCAAGCTCGACCCTCGCGTTCGAGTTGATTCAGCTTCTAAACGCGATGCTCACCTACGCGTTCAAATTTCTCAACGCTGAGTTCACCCACGTGTTCCAATCCTCAAGTACAGAAAAGAGATCTTTGTGTTTGGACCATTATGACAGTAATTTCTTGGTGACCAAGGCGACCAAAGCCAGGAAGAAACAAACGACTCCACTGGGGAGTCTGTTAGAGGAGTACAGATAGATTACAGTCAACAACGGCGAAATCATCTGACTCGATCAGGCGGAAAGAGCAATCAATCCACCAAATTCTGGGACCCAAAGTATTCCGAAAATTCGTCCCAGTCAACCGCGAACTTTCGAAAACTTTGGAGGGGGTTCTGTAGGCGGTCTAAAAATCACAATAGATAGCTTATTCAAACAAGCTCCGACAACGGAGGTCACAATCAGACGACTTCCCAATCACTGCATCCGCAACTCCACAATTGCCACAAACGTGACCTCACTTCTGAGATGATTGATTTTGATGGCTGTGATAACAGCATGGCTAATATCATAGCAACTATTAGAGATGCAGATGAGCAGTGGGACGATTTCAGAAATAAAAGGTTGGACTCAGTTGGTGAGTTGCTTGGTAGAGAGCTGTGGGCGAATATTCATCTTTAAGACACTATGGATGTTGATTCCCGTCTAGCTCCTACAACGAAAGCTACAATCAAATAGTTTTCGGGTCGGTGAACGAAAGTTGCGAATGGAGGGCTTTTCACATAGATCGAGAAGAGTTACAATTCAACGACACTTCTGACGATTGATGAAAACTCTATGCAGCAGTCTTCACAATCTACAGTGAAAGTTACAATCTGACGGCTTTCACACTCCACAACAGCTAAAAGCCAGGATTACTGAACAACGGTCCTTGCAACGCTCTACAGAAGAAGTTACAAGTCAAATGGCTCCTTCTGAAACGTGAGCGACCCTCGCGTTCAAAGGTGTTCAACCAACAGCGACCCTCGCGTCATCAAGGCACAAACCAAACGCGAGCGACCCTCGCGTTCAATGGTGTTCAGCTAACACCCAACTTCGCGTCTCAATTCAAAGAACACGAAGTTGAGATTCTGAACGCTAGATTGGGCGTTTGACTTGTTCAAACACGAGTCGAACGGTTTCAGAACCGTTTATCCCACGTTCTGAGGGATTTTCGCCCACGTAGGAGCGGATATAGGGGTCAGTTACAACCCCTTATCCCCCTATAAAATATCAACAAACTCGACAGAGTTAAAGGATCGGATTTTTGATAATCAGATCATAGGTTGGATCCTTTATCATCAAAACCACTCAGGTTTGGAGATTCGGCAACAACAGCAACGAAATCCTTGGAGAGAGGATTTTTGAATCAACCTCAGAAGATCAAATCTGAGAGGATTCTTCGACAACAGAAAAACAGCTTGATCCTTAACCGAATTCTCCTTTGCCACTAGCCTAGCCTTGTACCTTGTACCACCAAGCTCTGAAGGATCCCTTTTCTTTTATATACCCACTTACATCCAATAGCTTTCCTTCCTACGGGCAATGGGACCACCTCACATGTTTGGTTCTTCCGAAGATATTCCATCTCCTCATCCATCGTAGCCAACCAACTCTCACTATTTCTGTCCCGAATAGCTTCCTTGAAGGTGACAGGCTTATCATCCTCCACAGAGAGTACGTATTCCACCAAATTAACCTGCTCATAGTGCTTCAGGGGTTGATCAAACCCCAACTTCAGTACCTGCTTGTATGCTCACATTGGCCTAGTGGAAGCCAAACTATCCTTGAGCTACTGTTGTTATAGTGCTTGTGTATTCTCCTGCTAAACCTCCTACTGCTCAAGCTCATCATCTACATGGTTTCCCACTTAAACATGACTAGAACCCGGTTGGTCTTTAGGTTCTATTTCAATTACCTGAGACTTTAAAGTCTCAACAGTCCTAACACCATCATCCTTGGACGCCCTAGCAATCATGGATTTCTCATCAAAGGTAATATCCCTGCTGATCATGAACTTCGAATCTTCTGTACACCAAAGGCGATAGCCTTTTACACCCTTTGCATACCCCAAGAAAATTACCTTCTTGGCCCTCGAGTCAAGCTTTCCCTTGTTGACGTGATTGTTTGCGTCAAAAGTTGACTTTGTTATGGAATTCATTATATCTTCGGTCGATTACAACAAATTCAA